CCAATTAAAATTTTTTATTTAAAATCAGGTAGGGGGAGGGGGTAGCCTCTTAATAAAAAAATATCAGCTGATAAATGGCCCTTCTTTTACAGAATTATACCTGCACCTTTAATTTGAACATGCATTTTTTTTTTAGAATACTGTTTTGCAAAAAGATTCTGCAAGTTCTTCTACAAGTTTTTCTACAATATCAGAAGCAGCAATTCAAGAGAACTATGATGAATTATCTAGTAGTAATGATAATGAAAATAATTGTAGTAGTGATAGCAATTATGAAGAAGATTAAATTACAAGAAGAATTTAAGTAATTTAATTAGCAATATATTAAGTAGTAAATTAGTACTTAATGATTATTATATATATTTCGTATATTAGTTATAGACTTTGCTATATATTGCTTAATATATTAAAAAAATATATTTTATAATAAATATATATTGCTTAATATAATAATATATATTTTTAAATAGCATTAGTTAATAAAATAAGTTGTTTAACACAATGATACATATTTTTAAATAGTATTAGTTAATAAAATACATTGTTTAATATATTGTAAAATTGGTTTTCAATACTGTTAATCTGTATAGAGTTTGTTGTTCTACTGATTGTAGCATTAAATAACTATTAATATTAGTTAATACTTTTTAATATCTTTTAAAACTTCTTGATATAATATAATGAATTCATCTAATTATAAAATTATTATACAAGAATTTTCCAAGTTACATATTTATCTTCAAGTGAAAGTATAATAAACTTGCAATAAAACTAATTGACATAAATAAATAAAAAATATGAGATAGATAAACTTTTTAAAAAGATCTAAGTTAAAATTAAATCTGAAACTATGTCTGGATTAATTTATACAACTTGTGTATACAGACAACCAACTGATATCTGCTATCAATATCTTGATTTTTTCAAAAAGAAACTATTTGCAAATACCTTTGTACTACTATCAGCAAATTTTAAAACTATAATATTATGTAAGATTTATAATTAATATATAATATTATACAAAATTTTAAAAAAGTATAAATAGATACAAAACTTATTAAAAAAATTTACAAACTTTTGATAAGTAACTTTGTTTAACATCTTATTCTAGTCATAATAATAGTTAACTTATCAAAATTAGTCTAATATTTGCTGTAATAGCTTAATTATAATATTTTTGTACAATATTTCAAATTATTGCACAATATTGTGCAATATCTGAAATATTATATAAATATTACAATCAAGCTATCTTAGCAAATATTAGACTGGTTTTGATGATTTAATTACTATTATGACCAGAATAAGATACCAAACAAGGCTATTTATCAAAAGTTTGTGAATTTTCTTAATATGTTTCATACCTATTCATATTTTTTTAAATCTTGTATAATATTACATATTAATTATAAATTTTATATAATATTATGATTTTAAAATTTGCTGATAGCAGCTTTTTATATTGAAGATCTTTGTAAGCAAGAACAATATTCATATTTGTTCAAAATAGCCTTTTCAACTTACCAAAAATCTAAAAATATTTGATTAAATATATATATTAATAAATTTGAAATATCTGAAGATAATAATAATAATATTAGTAATAAGAGTGATATTGAGAATAATATTAATAATAAAGTAAAGATATTAAAAATGAAGATAATGATAATAGTGATAGTACTATATCAACCTTATCTAAAGAGATTCTTGCTTATACTAAACATATTCTTAGATCTAATATTCTAATCAAAATATCACAATCAAACATATTTATATCTGTATCAACTCTATAAAATATAATATAGCTGATATTAATGATTTAAATACTACTACTATTTATTAACAAGTAATTAAAAAATTTTTAGAATCTACTGCAAAATGTCTTCAAGAATTACAGAATAATTTAATATTTCTTCAAAATCTAATTAAATCTAAATATTCATCAGCTCAAAAATATTTTATAGAGTTGATACAGATATAAATATGTTTGATTGTGATATTTTGATTAGAATATTAGATCTAAGAATATGTTTAGTATAAGCAAGAATCTCTTTAGATAAGGTTGATATAGTACTATCACTATTATCATTATCTTCATTTTTAATATCTTTACTTTATTATTAATATTATTCTCAATATCACTCTTATTACTAATATTATTATTATTATCTTCAGATATTTCAAATTTATTAATATATATATTTAATCAAATATTTTTAGATTTTTGGTAAGTTGAAAAGGCTATTTTGAACAAATATGAATATTGTTCTTGCTTACAAAGATCTTCAATATAAAAAGCTGCTATCAGCAAATTTTAAAATCATAATATTATATAAAATTTATAATTAATATGTAATATTATACAAGATTTAAAAAAATATGAATAGGTATGAAACATATTAAGAAAATTCACAAACTTTTGATAAATAGCCTTGTTTGGTATCTTATTCTGGTCATAATAGTAATTAAATCATCAAAACCAGTCTAATATTTGCTAAGATAGCTTGATTGTAATATTTATATAATATTTCAGATATTGCACAATATTGTGCAATAATTTGAAATATTGTACAAAAATATTATAATTAAGCTATTACAGCAAATATTAGACTAATTTTGATAAGTTAACTATTATTATGACTAGAATAAGATGTTAAACAAAGTTACTTATCAAAAGTTTGTAAATTTTTTTAATAAGTTTTGTATCTATTTATACTTTTTTAAAATTTTGTATAATATTATATATTAATTATAAATCTTACATAATATTATAGTTTTAAAATTTGCTGATAGTAGTACAAAGGTATTTGCAAATAGTTTCTTTTTGAAAAAATCAAGATATTGATAGCAGATATCAGTTGGTTGTCTGTATACACAAGTTGTATAAATTAATCCAGACATAGTTTCAGATTTAATTTTAACTTAGATCTTTTTAAAAAGTTTATCTATCTCATATTTTTTATTTATTTATGTCAATTAGTTTTATTGCAAGTTTATTATACTTTCACTTGAAGATAAATATGTAACTTGGAAAATTCTTGTATAATAATTTTATAATTAGATGAATTCATTATATTATATCAAGAAGTTTTAAAAGATATTAAAAAGTATTAACTAATATTAATAGTTATTTAATGCTACAATCAGTAGAACAACAAACTCTATACAGATTAACAGTATTGAAAACCAATTTTACAATATATTAAACAATGTATTTTATTAACTAATACTATTTAAAAATATGTATCATTGTGTTAAACAACTTATTTTATTAACTAATGCTATTTAAAAATATATATTATTATATTAAGCAATATATATTTATTATAAAATATATTTTTTTAATATATTAAGCAATATATAGCAAAGTCTATAACTAATATACGAAATATATATAATAATCATTAAGTACTAATTTACTACTTAATATATTGCTAATTAAATTACTTAAATTCTTCTTGTAATTTAATCTTCTTCATAATTGCTATCACTACTACAATTATTTTCATTATCATTACTACTAGATAATTCATCATAGTTCTCTTGAATTGCTGCTTCTGATATTGTAGAAAAACTTGTAGAAGAACTTGCAGAATCTTTTTGCAAAACAGTATTCTAAAAAAAAAATGCATGTTCAAATTAAAGGTGCAGGTATAATTCTGTAAAAGAAGGGCCATTTATCAGCTGATATTTTTTTATTAAGAGGCTACCCCCTCCCCCTACCTGATTTTAAATAAAAAATTTTAATTGG